AAGAAGTGAATGTGAAAATGGTTATATGTTAGCGCAGTGAACATACTTAAATTTTAGTCAGTGCGAAAAAGTGACCGTTTTGACGTCCAATTATACTGATCGTTACTAACACACAGTCGGGAACCTCGATTGGCAGCCAGACACGGTCGAAAAGCTCTGCGCGTTTAAACGCGTTTTTCCATTTTTTTGTCTGCCTGGGTATGAAGAAGGAAGGAAACAACAATCAAGAGAAGTGAGTTATGCGGCAGCTAAGAAAGTAAAAACTTTCTGTTCTGGATGTGATAAATTTTTTTGTCTTGAATGTTTTAACAAGAAGCATCATGTTATGAAATAAAGAAATCAAAAATACCGAAGGTAGAGCAGATGACATATTACATTTAACCTCTTGTCTAAGAAAAAAGCAAAAGAAAGTGTTTTTTTATACAGTTTCTTCTTACAATATAGCGTGGCCCACCGGTGGGCCACATCGCCTCGAATGTGTTAACACAAGTTTTAGAATTCCCATCCTCCTGATTAGAGATATGAGCGAAGACCAGTCGCGATAAGTGTTAATGTCATACTTATTTCCTTGGGACTAAAAATTAAAGTATCATCAAAAATAAAGAATTGCATTTTCGAACTTGTGCAGTGTAAGGATTTGCGGTGTGATGTGCGTGTTGCTATAGGTGTATGTGGATAAAAATAAAACAATATCACCAACACCAACCCACACCCTGTAAATGTGGTACGTCTTCGAAAGAATCAGCCCATATTTGGATCTTATATTTCCAGACGAAACTTCTCATGAATGATAAAGAAAACAGTTTATATTTTGAATTCAAATATAGACATATCGTTCGACGAATATTTTTGAACACTTCAATAGAATAAGAAGTCTAATACATTGAGTTCCTATTAAAATGATTTCTTCTTTTTCTTTTCATTTATAATATCAAGTTTTAGTTTTTCTAGTTAGAACTATGTTTAATTGCGAAAATAAACATCACAATTTGAAAACAAAAGACATAAATTTATTTGCCCCATGTACAACGCCAGATGAATGATTTCTGTTTTACTTTTTAGAAATCAAAATTAGAATCTCTCTTTTTTTCATTCTCCTAATTAAGAACATGATTCTGCATCTGGTTATGTTTTGAAACCGTTGAATTGTGCTTTTGCAAAAGGAAACCGATTATTCAGATATATTCTACTATTAATCAACAAAAATAAAGTCAGATCACTTGATTCTAGCATCATAAATCGAGTTGTATCCATCCTTGACTTGCTGTTAAACTTTTATTTTTAACAACTCAATAGCTTCATATAAAATTCATTGGTCTCACCGCATAGTAAAATCTCAAAAAATGTGTACATCCTATCCAATGGGACATGTGATATTTTCGAACAATAGGGTCACATTGAATACATAGAACGGAATTATTTTATTCTAAACAGAAGTATGTTGTAGATATATCTGTCTGATAATTATTTTATATGATTAGCAATAGATAAATGTTTCTGATTAGGTAAGAAAAAAATGTCGAATAAAAGCCAAAAAAATGAAAAGGGAAAACGACGTTTAACCAGTGAATAGACAGTTCTGATGAACTTCTTGAATAAAAAATTATAATCAAGGTTACCCACTACTTGGACATGACAATGGTTGATAAAGAAATTTTACCACTCGATTATTACGCTGGTCTGCAACATATAAATTATAATTTGTATCAAATTTGATACCCCAAGGCAAACTGAGTGCAGCGATGCTTCCGCCAACAATTATTTCTCCAACAACTGAACCTGGAATCCACTTGATTATTTGATTATAATGGGACTGACAAATATACATAATACCATTAGCATCGAGAAGAATAACCCAGGGATTAAAAGGTGTTGCAACCGTAATGCCAGCTATTGCACCAGGTAAATATTTCTGAATTCTGTTGTTCATATTGTCACAAATATACATTGCACCTTTTTCGTTGATTTCATCAACAAAAATACCGAATGGATTAAAAAGGGAGAAACTTGAATTGCTTGCTTTACCATTACCTGCTACTAGTATACCTTGTGTTGCATCTTTATACCATTTCATGACTCGATTATTCTCTGTGTCAGATACATAGACTGTTAAATTTTGATCAACATAAAAACCTTCAGGAAAGTGTAGCTGATTTAGATCTGATCCCTGTAAACCATTACCAGCTACTATTGTTATATTACCAGTTGTTACGTTGAACATCATTACTGCATAGTTGACAGTAAAATAAACATTATCAAATTTGTCAATAACAATATTTTGTAGACCCGAAGTTGATAATAAAGTAGCTGGAGGATTTGAATTATTAGCATCAAATTTTTGTATACGATTATTAAAGTAGTCAACAATGTACAGGTTTTGTTTACTATCGATAGCCACATCTAACGGGTATGATAGTCCAGTACCAGCTACTACTATTCCATTCTGATTCCATGTAGAATTGATACATGGTGTGATTGAACTTGCACTGGTAGTTGTGGTTTTGACCGCACTTTTTGTTGCTGTTGTTGATGCTGTTTCCAGAGGAAAAAGAGAAATTAAATATTTAGTACTAAATCCTTTATTGGTATGCTTCAATAATTTGAATATGAATTGATAACACCTCATTCTCACTCACAAAAATAGAATGATAACTCAACTTCAGTCTTATTAAAATACTTGACTCTTCGAATAGACCTTACCTTTCGTGGCTGTTATTATTGAAACAGTAGTTTGGACTTTGGATGTTGTTGCTGGTGCTTTAGTTGTTGTGAGCCCTGTTCTACTTGCTTTAATCGTAGATAAAAATAGAAAGAAAGAAAATTCAAATGTGGTTGGAAAAAATTTTAAAAACTTATGAACAACTTTATCGATGAAACATTAACTTTATATTTAAGTCTTGTGCGTTAGAAAAACATACAATATTCCCGAGATCATAACTCACTCGACATAATTTTTGTTGTAATACTTGTTAACCTTGTGGTCGACAAACTTGATGGACAAACACTTGCTAGAGCCAGTTGTAATGGATAGCAGACTAGTTGTTGACATCGTGTACTATTCACACAGATTGAATTTGATAATGAACAACTAAGATTAATGGAGCATGGAAGGAGAATATTGCAGGGAAGGTGGGAGTATCCACAGATTCCATTTGAAGTGCTATTTGCAAGCTGATAACAGTCACATTCTAGATTCTTTGAACAACGTGTGCCAGCAGAATTTCCACATGAAGATGGTAAACAATAAGAAATGAGAGAGTTAACTAGAAAATATAAAAAAACACAAGAGCTATGGCATCTACAGATCTTTAGCAAGTGAAATATTTCGTTATGTTATTACTCGATTGTTGTGCATTTGTTGCATTACTAATAAAGACACAAAATAATATATAGATAAGTGAAATAGGTTTCAGATTCGTTGAAACGAACACTTACAAGATATTGAGAAATAGCATAATGAAAATGAACTTGAACATAGTTCTCGGAATTTACAATTCGTAAAGTTTGGTGAACGTGTACGAGAGAATAAACGGATGAAAAATAAAACGAAGTATATTATTTCAAGAGTTAATGCCCGTCTTACTCATTATTCATAAGCTGTTTTTTATAAATATAATTGCTTTACATTTACTTGCGATATTTTTGAATCCTTATATTAAAAAAGCAACATTTATTATACTGAATCAAACATATCAGACTTTTGACGCCTTTATGTCACGTTCGACGTTAGTATATGCAAAGTCGTATTTTGTGCGGATTTGTGTAACAGTCTTTCTAACACAGATGAATAATTATCATTTACCCTAAATCACATCTACATTTGTGGATAATCAAATCGAAAAAAATTAAAACTGGTAACTAAGTAGGAATTTTGGTTTAGGGATTTTTTAATTTAGGTTTTTTTTTCATATGTAATACACTGCAAATTCTGGTCCTCTAGATAACTATCTACATCACGGTCACATTTATGAACATTTAGAAAATCAACGCAGTTCTGTTGACCAGTTTCAGTCTTTTTTCAAAGATTAGACGATTAGTTGAGGTTCTTTTCAGAACAACTGGTTACCAGTTCGAGCTCTGGACTCTAATTCAGTTTAATCACACTTAATACTGATTGGTGTAATTTATACACACACAGCACTGCGTGTGGGTGAGAGCGCTGTGATTAAAGTGATTAAACCAAAAAAGTGCCGGGTTCTTTTCAAAAGAACTCAGAACAGGCTTCCACTTTTTAAAGATTTTTCAAAAGGAGTAAAGTGAGTTTTTGAAAAACCGGTGACCAGATACATCGAAAAGAACTCGAACTGGTAACCAGTTATTCTGAAAAGAACCTCAACTGGTCATCAGAACTCTATTAATTTTCTAATTGTCCACATATGTAACCGTGGTGTAGATAGTTATCTACAGGACCAGAATTTGTAGTGTATTACAGATGAAAAAAAACCTAATTAAAAAACCTCTAAATCAAAATTCCTACTTTGTTACCAGTTTTAATTCTTTCGATTAGATTATCCACAAATGTAGATGTGATTTAGGGGTGCACTTGTAGTCGCCTGATTTAGAGCAAATGATACCCTACCACAAAGATTACTATGAATTGAAATAGCTATGTGCAGTATCTTCGATGCGATATCAATTAAAACACAAGAGAGGGGTCTTTAAGCGAGAAGCTTAGTTTTTTATCATTTCCGTAGTCGAACTAGATATCGAAAATCTATAAACGTTTGAATCATTTATCTCCTATTCCATCTATAAACGGTATACTCAAAACTTGATATCGTGTATGTCTCGTAATACCGTCATATGCAGTACTAATTTTTGTTTTCGTCTTCTATATGTTACGGTCTGATTTACAAATCAACTAAAAGTTCCTTCATTCCACTATCGAATGCTATGGAGGTTCATGACAAAATATTGATTTTTGGTTTGTTTCTGAAGATGCTACTGTACACGTATATCCAAGGGAGAAAAGGTGATACTCCAGAAGTGCACACTTCATCCGTACTGCACTCTACTCCAGTAATACTCCATTCTACTTCAGTCGTATTCCGACCTTACTCCACTGTCCGCCAAAATTTAGTTTGGATTACATGGAGTATCGCCTTTCTTCCTTGCGTATATCCTATTTCAAGGGCACTCATGGTAAAGTTCTTCTACAAAACTAATGCAAAAGTATTGCTGCACTTTAAGTAACATACAATTCGATAGGTCTTTCGAAGCTCTAAAACTGATACTATTGCCTTCCGTAAAGTTTGAAGATAATTCTAGCTATGAATATAAGTTACAGCTCAATAACAAAATTATTATTATGAAAAAAAAGCGGAATAACCTCATGTAGTGTTCGATCTGTTAATTTGTATTGTTCCTATTTGTTTCGCTTCATTGAAAAAAAAAGAAATAGTAACTTAACAAACCATTCGAAATAAATCAAATATTTTCTTTTCCTAGCTTTTAGATAAATAAAATCTAATAGAACTTCATTGAGTATTTATTGATTAATATATCATTTTTATTACTTCATCTAGCAATCAGCTTTTACCTTACAAATCGAACATTATGAATAAAAATATTGTTTTTGTCGATATACGAGTGTGGATGTGGATGTTTCTTTTCTCTATCCACACCCAAAACAAACAGTGTAACAAAACTCTCACGTCATTTTATCTGAAGTCAACACAGTGCGAATTATCTTCTCTTTTTTTTTACTGCTTTCATGATGATCACATCTAAATTAATGTTGTTCACCGATTAAACACACTATCTTTTTCCTTGCAAATAAATGAATGTGGGTGTGGGTGTGGGTGTGGGTGTGGGTGTGGGTGTGGGTGTGGGTGTGGGTGTGGGTGTGGGTGTGGGTGTGGGTGTGGGTGGGGGGGTGGGGGTGGGTGTGGGTGTGGGG